CTATGGGTCCATTCACCTATTTCCATCTAGTTTCCCAAAGTTCACGCCCAGAAATCTGAAAAAAATATCATATCATATCATATCATATCCAAACGATTCCAAACGTATCTCAGGACATGAATAATCCTGGTTCAAGATCAATCATCCTTCAGGACTTTTGACCCACAAACCCCCGATAAACTCTTCCACCTCTGTGTTCGTTCGCAAGCTCGGACGCTCAATAGGCCAGTCCATCCTTCGGGAGGGGTGGCAAGGAGAGGGCTCAATGGCCACTCGTGCAACCCAGGGAGATTAGCTTGGTGGTGGATCTAATAGTATCTATATACCCCTTATGAAGAGTGGTTAATGGATGTGAATGGATGTGAATGGACACCTCAGACACCTCTAAGGGAAAAAACAACATAGACACGACTTCTACGATCTATACTTGCAGACATGTACTTAGAACGACGGTGTTGTTCTAACCCATACGCTTAGAACGTATATGTATATACCAGGGTGGTTGTTACATGTTGTTCCAAAAAGATGTTCGAAGTGTTTGTCTTACAGTATACAAGTCGATCGGTTGCCTCAGGCCAGATTCGGCATGTGTTTTGGGAGTGTCTGCCTCGTGTTCAACCTGAACCATCCATCCATGTCTTGACCATTCCCCTTGACCGGGCGGATGTTGCAAGGGCGCGAAGGTACATCTGTAAAGGGGCATCTTGCGCTAGAGGAACATACTTCAAGCATCAGTGGCCCCCAAACAAACTGTTTGACTGAAAGGCAGGGAAAAACGAGCCAATGAAAGATAGGTTGGTCTCCCAACTCCTGACTCCTGAGCCACTATGAAGGGTTTGTTGTTTGACTTCCACTCCCTAGACTCATCATGGGCCAACGTGGAAGCGGCCGCATGGACCCGAATCGACTCGGATGAACCTGTTCCGGTGTGGTGCACTCACTCAACTCCCTCCACGAAACCACGAGCATGGCCAGGGAGTGTATGCCCACTTCTCGAACTGATTGAAAGGAAGGGGCATAACGGACCGGAGCTGTGTTCGGAGCCCTGGCCGTGGATGTGGATGGAGCGGAGGTTCGACCTGTTCGTAGCGAGTAACATGGCGATCCTAGCGGTGCCTGTTTTGAAGGGTCACGGTCCCCATTTTCTAGGGTACGAAGTGGAGGACCACTGATCCTCCTTCAACATTCAATCACCTCACCCTCTGGCCAAATAAATCCATCCAAAAAGTATCACAAAAAGATCGATTTCGGTGGATCCGTTTGGGCTACAGGATTTGCCATTCACACGGCCTTGACGACTTCTCAGCTGGAGTATATAAAGATATAACTATTTAAAAAAGAAACACCTTTTGTAATATATATATATTTTATACTACACTAGATTAGATAGGCACAAATAGCAAAAACTACCACTAGCTACAATTGACACAAACATGAATCTACGACGTACTTCGGCGATCGAATTTGCCTCCCCATGTCGCCTGCGCCAGCGACTGCGCGCGCCGCAAGAGGCTTGGCAACGCACTGGCGAAGGTCTCGAAGTCCACGGAGGGGCCAAAGCACCTTGCTGAGTCCACGAAGTATAGCGATGGCCTCCAACCTAGTAGCTAAGTAGCTATGGCCTCCAACCTCGCGATGGCCTCCAACCTAAGAGCGATGGCCATCTTCCCTTAAAGGGGAGTTGTATGGGCTTGTGAATCAACCCAACTTTGAATCCTTGACGAACCATCGAAGGGCTTGTGAATCAACCCCCTTGGCCCAGAAAACCATCGACATGAAAACCGGTCAATGGTCAACTCCGCGACTTCGGTGTTCCAGGACCTTCAAAATGACCGTCCTTGAGAACCTTGAGAACCTGAGGTCACTTGGGCTACCTAGAGAGGCCACCGGTCTGAAAAATTCGAGGTCGAACGGCTCAGGTCCTGGTCCGATTTCCGAAGGTTGCTCATAGCCAATGGAGGCGAAGAGTTAACTCCGGAAGTGGAATGAAGTGGAGTTCACCACCTGTTTGTGGAGGAAAATGGTCATCCTTTGGATATGCTATCCACGTAATATGAGAGTGTAGCAGGGAGTGTAGCAGGCGAAGACAGTGCACCCAGGGGCCCACACGTGCGCGCCACATCGGCGTCCAAGGCAGGCAAACCGTACAGGTACGAGAGCTGCCGCAGCGCCTTGCGACCACAAATCCGTGCGGCGTGCGTGCCGCTGCTGGGGTGTTGAACAATAAGAGGCACGCAGTGGCTGTGTTAGGGTGTTGTATAATCCTTTTTCAAGAATAGGGTTATCCCTTGACAGAACATGAGACGTCTCGCCACGAGGCCTGCAGCATGGGGAGATACCGAACCCACTCCGAAGGAAGGGATACCGGGCTCCCCTCACAGCTCCAGTTCAGAGGAAATTAGGATGACACTAGCCTGCCGAAGACCTACTTGACGCCACTTGCAAAAGAGAGACCCCATATTGCCTTCTATCATCTTCTATCTATCTGATATCGCATCCGTCTGATTGCGAAGTCTGCAAGTTGCACAAATGCAGTGGAGGGACCATCTTTTTGGTCGACCCAGCATCAAGCACATTCAGTTTCACACATTTCCACGTAGGTACGAAAGATATGCAATGTCAGGTTGCATTCTCAGTCTCTCCTCTTCATTTCCTGCATAGAAAAACCCAGGAAACGACAAGGGAGGGAGGCACCTCTAAGACCTACAAAACACATCAAAACACACAAACGCAGGTGAGCTTCCTGTCCGCTTGTGAAAGGGGCTTCTAGGGTCTCTCTGTACTTCACCTGTGCAACTCTTTTGTCTCTTCCAAAATCAACGAGCTGCCTGGCTCTACCATCCACCATGGCCACCCAACATGAACACATAATCGTTCAACAACTGAAGAATCAACAACCAACTACGGGATACAAAAGAAAGGGCCTTGGTCACCCACCGATGAGAGTGGTTGTAAGATGTTGTAACGACCTCTAGCCCAGCACGGTGAGTCCAGCTATAAAAGTTGATCCAATTCCTTTGATTCCTTTTGATTCAATGTACTGTTTGGTTCATACCCGAACCTCGCCCCGACCTCCCGGACCCACCGCCATCGGCCACGGTACCCCCATACGGTTTAGGCCGCACCGTCAAGGCCGCCGCCGTGTCGATGAGCGCATCGGAGCGGTCTGAGGAGCGCCCCCCCGGAGTGGAGCGCCCAGCGAAACTCCTGGCGGCCGAGAGCGAAGAGCGGAGAGGCGACCGGCGACGGGAGAGCGGACCTTTCTGCGGGCAATGGTTGGAAATGGTGTGAAGCGAATGTTTTGGGGAGACTGCGTATAGGAAGCGGATGATGGGATGTCTGTCGCCAGCGGAGTAGGAGTATATAGTGTAGGACGGGTACTGTAGGATTTTCGATTGTTCACAAGGCTTCGTGATGGTGAAGAAGAGTGGCCCCCAAACTGCACATAGTGAGACGTCATGATTGCTCTGCGCTTCTCATGTGACAATGACGAATGATATCGATGAGCCACCCTGGAACATAAAACGCAAAATTACTCGCACACACTGCATACACAACCATGGTACACCACCCGAGGGTGTATTCTGTTTATCAAAGTCAAAACTCAAGCAGTTCAGTCTCAAGTGTCAAGCATTATTCAAACGGCGATTAAGATTATTTTGTTTAGGAGTGCAGTAAGATATTTGTCTGCCTAGTCTGACCCTGCTGCTGAATGCAGGTGTTCAGCCAAAGAGCAAAACAGTTGGAGTTCGCCGCACATTCAGTCCAGCGGCCCCATTTGTTTTGGGTGTTTGCGAGTCCAGTACTGCTTTGGAGTCTGATCCATTGCTTTCGAGTCTGATCATCTGATCACGGTTCTTCTGGGGCCCCCTTGATCCCAGCTGGATGTGGAAGATATGAACCCTATGAGCTGTAGGGCATGTTGTTCTTTATATTCGGAAGGCATGTCGTTTTCTTTTGGCATACGCAACATAACCAGCCTCATCCACATGTCTCGGATCAAACAGTTGGACTCCGGTCTTTGCATCATATTTGTTCGATGTTTTTTGCGTCTTGAACTTGAGAGGGTGTCCCAGTCCTCAGACCCCCCCCCCGCCGTGGTGTTCCTTTTCTAGTGTCCGTGGATGGCGACGTGATGGACGTTGAAGTCATGTCCAACAAATGGCTCGTCAAGTGTTCAAGGTCCAGACCAGGTATCAACCAAAATAAGTTTATACCAGCCGCTTCGAACCTGGCACCTTGTGTCAGTCCTCCCAAACCCAGTAAACCGCTTGGACTTGCTGCGTCCAAGCAATTCACACTTGTTTGTTGCCTTTATTTGCCTCTGGATCGGCTCGAAGCCGCCAAGACACACAGAGTGGTGCTTCTTGGGTGGTGCTTCTTGGAGGCCTACCAACACCGTATGTCATATATATACATTGGGCGGCTTTTCAAGGGTCAAAGTAGGCATATATTCCACACATGGAGTGTTTGGGACATGGGCTATGTAATACAAGTACGGTAACATAGGGAGACCTCCCAGTTCGACACCCCGGAAGAAGAGCAATAGACCAGTCTACCCATTGGGCCATGGGTCTCCCTGAATACATCTGAATACACACCCATAAAATGCCGGCTTTTGATGAATTAAGCCTCCCAGACATGGATTGAACAACCTCGTCAGGCTATGTCAGGCTTGAGGGGTTGACATATACTCATTACATCTCATTACAAACATACACACCCAAATAAAAGTTCTATCGATCCAACTTGCTGGTCGGAGCCTGTTGGAAGCATTTGGAACCTCCTGCGTTTTGGATTACAGGAGAGGACTGGTGCCTGCGGTGCCTGCCCTCCACACCAGTTCTTGACTGCCATAATCTTCAACCAATCTTCTGCCACAATGTGACTTGGTCAGATGATTCCAGGAGATCCAGGGTTTAGGCTCTAGTGTTTAGGCTTTAGGCTTTAGGGTCTAGGTTTAGGGATTTAGGGAAGTACGCACCCACAGCCACTCCGCTCCTGTGCCGCAGCGCTCCGCAGGTCCCCCTCATCGGACAGCAAGCGCTCGATCTGCGCCTGGCGCCCGGTGGGGCCAGCGCCCGGCACGGGCTCCAACACGACCTGTCTGAGATTGGCATCTTTTTGTTAACCTTGAGTGGTTGTTCTGCAGGGGTCAAATGTATAAATCAAGATGCCAGGTCTCAAACAGGTCGTGAACATCACAGTCATCAGCATGTGCTCCTGAAAACCTCCAAACCCTCGCAGCATTGCGGACATGATCTGGTTCCGAAGCACGGTCAAGGACCCTACGAAAAGCTCCGGATGGTTCAGGATCTGTGACTGAAGATCCAAAGGTATATTTTTTCATATTGTTTAGGTTTCTTTGACTGACTGGTGATCCATTTACTCAGGAGGCTCTTCTTTCTGGAACTTGCCAGACTTTGAGAAGCCCTCGACACACTTGGCAGAAGATGCAAAGAAGGCTGAGGAAGAGAAGAAAGCAAAAGAGGGATGATATATGCATTTTTTCCCGAAAGCATTGCGAAGGGTTCTTCCGGAAAATCCTTTGAACACTGACACTTCGACACTTACACTTCGACACTCACACTGACACACTTACACTTCGACACTCACACTGACACACACACACACGCTGGAAGAGCGAAAGCATCCAAGTGCGAAGTATACCAGGGCGAAAGCATCCAAGTGCGAAGTATTGCCAGGGTCAAAGTATGCAAGTGTGAGTACGCAAGCATGCAATGACTATGCAAGGGCAAGTGTGAGTGTGGTAAATATGGAAAACTAGCCCGGGAGATGTCCTAATGAAAAAACATTTCCCCACTTTATAAATTCTCTCTTAAAGGCGGAGGGTGGGACGAACAGCGTCAACCGAAAGTGCAACCCTCTGCGGAGATCGTGCGTGTGGAGTGCGCGAAATGCAGGCAAGAGTGCGATTTGCCGGCTGTGCGCGCAACCCTCTGCGGAGATCGTGCGTGTCGAGTGCGCGAAATGCAGGCGAGAGTGCGATGTGTCCGGTGCGCGCGCAACCCTCTGCGGAGATCGTGCGTGTCGCAAGCGCGAAATGCAGGCGAGAGTGCGATCTGCCGGCTGCGCGCGCAACCCTCTGCGG